TTATTAATTCCTGTCAGTGTCAGTAGCTATACACATATGGTATTGCAAGCAGAGGTCCCTGCCAGCTGACTCAAACTCACAAAGCTCAGGATAAGAGGTTGTTCAACTGTGGCCTGGATGTCCACACTCAGGGTATGTCTACAATGCATAGTTTTGTTGGAAAAACAGCCATTTTTCCAACAAAACTTGAGGAACGTCCACACTGCAATTGCGTTCTTCCTCAAGAAAATCGAAAGAACAGAGGAGGTTTTCCGGCACTGGTAATCTTCATTTTACAAGAAAGAAGCCTTTTTGCGAAAGAACTCTTTAAATACCGTGCTTCATTAGCAATTTCGGTCACTCTTATTAGCCTCCCTAGTTCAAACTAGGGGGCTAGTGTAAACGTACCCTGAGGAATATGAAATGTTTCATGCTGGGATTAAACAACTATAATCATTTCCAGAGGATTGCTTGCATCTGCGAGGTTAAAAAAATGCTGCTGTTGGGAAAGGCATTTTTGTTAGGAATGTTCTTTATGGTAGTGGAATCAGTGAGTCATATTCCAAACTTCCTACTCAAATCATAACCACTGCAAACCTAAAGACTAGTAAAACATACTAGCAATTTCTTCATGATAAGAAATCTTTATTATGTCTTAATAAAATACAATTATATATTTCTACTTACTAGCCTCTCATCATTAATTCATGCAGATTGCAACACAAAAAGAAATAATGCAAACAGGAAAATAAGAATTGCTGACCATCTCCGAGGATCAACCAGAACAGTTTTTGACAATAGAAAAACCAGAATACATGATACATTGCTTCGGAATGACTAGACCACAAGAAAAGTTTCTACTCAGCTCATCTTAAAGTTCTGAAGTGAAAGGTTTTATACTTCCCTTCTATAATAGATTGGTTGCTTTTCTTTTAAAATTAAATCCCTGCTGATATCACTTGGGATGTTCTCATTATCCATCTATCAATGTACATTTTTTTAAAACTTATAAGCTTTTGTATTTAATTGTACATTTTGACAATGAGTTCCACAGGATAATTATACATGTAAAAAAACCCTCCTTTTTAAATTATCAGAAGCCTTCTATTTGTGCTCTTTTAGTCCTCCTTCCCCCAGACACAAGCATCTGCATTCCCTTTCTCTTCACTAATATGGACTGGATGAGATTCTCACTGAAGCCTATACCATACCAATATAGTTTTGTCAGTCAGGTAAAGTGCACTGAAGACTCACACATGGGGCTTCTTCCCTAGTTACTCTGCTTTGAATAACCACAGCAATTTTGTGCTTCATCATCTAGAGGATCTCATTAGAGACAAGGCCTAAGGTATTATTAGCACCCATTCCATTGGCATTCTATTGAAAAAAAATGTAGATTTTATATGCAATGTATTTGTTACAACATTACAGCCGTTTTGTAAAACTTTTGATATCCCACAGTTAGTGCTGTTTTAAACCTTTAACTACATTGTTTAATTCACATCAGAGAAATCAGTCAAAATGCATACTTGTACCTCATTCATTCATACAGCTCTCCCACCTTCCCAGAAAAATGGGTGCTATACCTCTCAGCTGGAACATATTTATTATTTACATTGCTGTGACATTTAAGGACTCACAGCCTCATTGTGAAAGGCATTATGCACACACAATGAAAAGAAGACAAGCCCTGCCCCCAAAAGCCTATACTCTAAGACCTCCATCCTACAGATTTATACATACAGCACAGAGGGTGAGAAACTTCTTAGGGAAGTAGAAACATGGCAGAATCCTAGGATATGTAACATGAGTCTCAGCACCCACACAACTTTTGAACCACGATCTACTGTTACTCAGCGTAAGTAGCTCCAGGAAAGCCTCAAACAGTCAAAGAATGTAAACATAGCAGCAACATATACCTTACAATGTTCAGCCTGCTTATTGGATTTCCAATTGAAAGTCAAAAGGGTAAATGAGTCATCCACTTAGACACACACTGACACATAAGCAAACTCTCCTTCACATTATCTTCAGTTAAGAGATATTTGTGGAATTGCTATCCGAGGGGAGACTGAGCGTAAGGTAAATTAGTTACAGAATGTATTATATTGATGGTTTTCTCTGTGGTATTCAAGGTCCAATTTAAAAGTTATTGAAGACATTGTACATCACTGTTTAATAAAGGTGATGAGCACACACTTCCATAATAAAATGTATAACTTTTTATTGTTTCATTTTTTGAGAGAGTTAAATGACTTAACATGGCTAAACTAATCATTTGTATTATAAAATGATTTATATAAACATGGGTTAAGACTTTTAGGTTATGTCAAAATTTACCTTGGAACAAATTTTTATAGCCAAGTTATATATCTATAGACATAATGATTTATAATGCTAACAGACTCTCAACAACCAGGGCTGCTATAAAAAAGTGCCCTGTAGTAATACAAGGTGATATGAGGGGAAAAATATCAGTGAAAACCCCAACAAGGATGTAACAGTGGACTGATAGGTGATAATTAATAATATAACACACTGAACATTGCACCACTCCACCACCAAGTAGATTACAGTAAACTTCTGATAATCCGGAACCTATGGGACCTCGGTGGTGCCAGGTTATCAGATATGGTGTACTATCAGGAGGTACTATAAGATGGTTATATATATACTGTATACATTATATACTGTATATAAAGTGTTCTTAACCCTTTTTATTGTACATACTGTAACCAGTATACTGTAATGTTTTTGTTTTTAAGCCTTTTTTACCCTTTTTGCTCAGTTCAGCTGCTGCTGCTGTTACCTTATGACTCATTTTTTGCCAAAGCTCACTCACTAGGCTCTTGCCATTTTAATGCCAGACTATCTGGAGTGCCGGACTATTGGAGTTTTACTGTACTTTAACAGCCTAACTAAAAACTGAATTATTTCAGAAGGTGACCATGCAGACCGCTTGCCAAGATTAACGCGATATGAGCAATGCAGCACAATGGGGTGTGTCAGGGCTAGAGTTACGAGGGCTCTGAATTTTTTTTTTTTAAAGTATAAAATTCCATCAGACTCACTACTTTAAGAAGAGGACATTAGAACTCTGGAAAAATCTAAAACTAGCAAACATACAGAACAGCAAAAAATTATGAATATTCTATTTGGTTTTATGATGGCAGAAAGATATTAAGGTCAGACATGACTATTTATAGAATGGTGTCCTACTTGTCCCTTGTGGTGCTCCACAGGGATACTCCAGTGCAGTACTTCGTATAGATTTGGAGAGAGCCCAGAGGAGAGCAATAAAAATGACATACTGTTTAGGAAACCTGACCTATGAGGAGACGTTAAAACAATGGGCATGTTTGGTCATGAGAAAAGACATCCAAGGGAAGATGTGATAACCTTTAAGTAGCTTAAGAACCACTATATAAGGAGGATGGTGATCAGTTGTTCTCCATGTTAGGGCAAAAAGCTACAGATTTAATCTTCAGAAAGAAAGATTCTGGTTAGCTGTTAGAAAAAAAAATAACTATAGTTCTAGTTAAGCTGTGAAATAGGCTTTCAAGGGAAGTTATAGAATACCTGGAGGTTTTTAAGAATACATGAGAAACACATATCAGGCATGGCCTCAGTATACTTTTCGCTGTCTCATGACAGAGGTTTCAGTTCTCCCTTTCAGCCCTACATTTACGAGTGCACAGGCATGAATTTCATCACACCTACAAGTCCTTGCATCACTTCAGTCCTATTAAAATTCTTGAGATAGGAAATTAAGAGAAACCCAAATGGAGCATAGGCCTGTGTTACAAACTTTACTCTGGGAGAAGTACAAGAGTGACCACAAACTAGTAGAATCCACCAGTTAGCACCATAATTATTGTACATACAGTTCACACATGCATAACAGCAATGGCCTGATCTAAATGGTAAGAATGTTGCTTTATCCTACCCCAACTTTTAGTGTGTTGGCTCCTATCTGCACCATACTCATAATCATCTACATTTTTATATTACCCACATAACCATTATTCCTGAACAAGTAGATTAGGACTAGTTTGACATCAGAATATATTATCTTTGATCAGAAAAATAAAGAAGCAATTTTTTAAAATCCACATGTTTTGGGAATGAAAGAATGTAATTTCATGTGGAAAGCAGTTTGCTACAGGTCAAATGCTGCTTGTCATTAACATATAAATAGTCCAAATCATTAGTATGATTAAGGCATCCACTTCTTATCTTAGCTCTTGACACAGGTAATGTCACATTTGTATTTTGAAATTAG